TGGGTACTAAAATACTTAGCGGATTGTTGTATTACACTATGGCTTTCCCCAGAAGTTGCTAAGATGGACTCCAAATCGCTGATGGAATTTTGCTGGAACTGGATCTGGGGCTGCAGGGATTCCTCTCCACAGTTCTGGAGCTGATTGTTCCAGGCTTGGGGGCACCAGGTCTGACTGGCCCAGGAATGGTTGCCCCAAGACTGGCCGTTCCAGGAGTGGTTGCTCCAAGACTGGCTGTTCCAGGTCTGGTTGCTCCATAGTGGAAGGTTTCCAGAAGTGTTCCTCAGGTATCCCTGGTGGTAGGAATAGAAGCCTGGGTATTGTGCGGTTGCTGTGCTGTTCTGAAAAGGAATAGCAGATTGACTGAAAAGCTCGGAGGAAAATCAGAATCGTGTGTGGTTGGGGTTGTATGGGTTAGCAACGAACAAAACTAAGAAGTCAGTGAAAAGAAAGCAGAAAGATAAAAGCTTCCCATCACCTGAGTCACACTCTTGCTCTCCTTTGGCCAATGGTTTTTCTGCCACCTCTTACATTTCATTCTCTGGTTCTGGAACCAGGTCTTCACCTACCAAAAAAAAAAGTGACAGGAAAACATAAAATACCAGTCGTGTGGATGTACCAGGGATCAAAGAATATCGTGAACATTTTTTTCCCCTGACAGTATCTAAAGCTCAGGAACAAGATGAAAACTTCTAGAGTCCTTTCTGCAATCTGGAAACAATTTTCTGTGAATGAATCTCAAAGCCCCTCAAGTCAGCTGGCTGCTTTAATACAGCTAACCAGTTAGAGAAGATACGCTAATTATCTACTCAGTAGAAAGTTCACGTGTAGATGTCTTCCCAACCCCCTTTTCATAGTTGAGCCATGCTGCTAGTCACAGTTAAAAGGTTACTTTGCAGTAAAAAAACCTCCCCCCATAAACACACTCCTTTTTTTTTTTTTAATTTTGTTTCTTTCAGAGAGTGAGAGAGCGAGAACACAAGAGGGGGTAGGGTCAGAGGGAGAAGCAGACTCCCCGCTGAGCAGGGATCCCGGTGCGGGACTCAACCACGGGACTTTGGGATCACGACCTGAGCCCAAGTCAGTTGCTTAACCAGCTGAGCCACCCAGGCACCCCAAAGCACACTTCTGTATTTAATGGGATAACGGTGGTAATTTTAACTCACGAATTATAAAATATACCACTAGAACTATTTAGAAATTATCAAGTTATATAACAGCCCACAAAACTTCAATTTCCAGATGATTTATAAACCGTAAATGAGAAATGAGATTGAGAAGGACCAGATTATGTATGTACAGGTGTACACACCCACACACTATAAAATTATGGAATGGAGGACTTGTCTCTAAGTATGACATCAGTGATAGAAAACCATAAAATATCTATTAGGCAAGAATATGAAACATTATTAACCTCATTAGTAATCAACTGTACACAGACCAAGAAAAGATTCCATTTTTTTATTTTAATGAGAAGCAGTGTTGGTTAAGGACTCTCCTAACCTGGAAGATGGAAATATATAGACCTCCTCTGATCAAGGAGAAATCGGAAAACTTTTTGCCATTTTAGCTTGTGCAACAGGGAGAACTGGTTAAATAAACTATGGCATAATTAAAGAGAACATTTAAAGATGGTGATGAGGGGTGACTGGTTGGCTCCATCGTTCAGTGTCTGCCTTGGGCTCAGGTCAGGATCCCAGGGTCCGGGGATGGAGCCTGCCTCATCTCCCTGCTGCCCGCCGCTCCCCCATCCTTGTGCCCACTCTCTGTCAAATAAATAAAAATCTTAGGAAAAAGGAAAAAAAATGGTCATGAAATGTTACAAAGAACCCACTTTCATATTAAAATTATTTGTAGGGGTACACAAACACAGAGCACACAGATGTTAGTAAAGCTCATCTGCAAAGGAGCTTTTCATTTGTCACTGCAAGGAGAACAAAACACATCCTACCTGCTTATAGCTAAGGTTCAGAATGTTGGAAAGTTCTTGCATCTGCTGGAGACTGAGGTATTTCTGTCTCTGAAATCGATCATTGAGGACGTAGAGTTGGGCCTGAGAGAACACGGTCCTGATCTTCTGTTTCTTGCCCTGGGCCGTATCTTCCTTCCCCACTGTTCTCTCCTCCCCAGAAGTGGGTGGTACTTTTACCCTGGGACTGGTGGAGGAGTCGGGGCTGTCCTGAACACGCAGATCCATGGATGCAGGAAGAGGAGAGACTGTGGGAAATAAAACAACACTTTTCTCTAAAACTTTGCAGATGCTCAATCATATTCGCAAATTCATTGTTTTCACAGCATTTTTAAAGTCCTCACAACCTCAGAATTAGGTAGTAAAAACTCTTCCGGGACCCTGCACTCTTTGCTCATCTTCGGATGATACCAACCCACTAAGTGTACTAGTTGTCACCATTTCACATCCAATGGACATGGCCAACAGCCTACCCGCTGGGAAGCAGAGGAGACTCAAGCCCTTTTTTTTTTAATGATCTTATTTTTAAGTAATCTTCACCCAACATGGAGCTCTAATTTTACATTGTTGAGATCAAGGGTCACATGCTCCACCGACTGAGCCAGCCAGGTGCCCCTCGAACCTCTTTGGCAAAAGATTTTTACTGCAAATTGATGCTCAAGAGCCTACACTGTGGCTGCTCAGAAAGGTGGGAATGATCACTGGACTCCTTTTTGTAAAATTAATCCTCACCTACATCAGATTCTGGGGACCCTTTAAAATCCACGGCTGACTACTGCCCAGTTCCAAATACCAGGAGTAGCACGAACTGGGAATTCCGATAGGCTTTCGTTTCAGACTCTGTCTTTACTAGCTGTGGGACCCCGTTTCCAAAAGTATTTCTCTCCCTCACAGAGGGAGTTCCTTCACTGATTAAAGCAAAGTGACAGAGAAAGTTGTCTAGCACAGGACCTGGCGTGTATTGACCGTCTAACCAAAAATTAATTTCCTACAAAAAAATAAAAATAAAAAACAAAAAATAAAAAAAATCCATTTTCTGTATATGGCCTAGATTTGGTAGCCACTTAAACTCTTAATAGCACTGAGGTATTTATTTCCCGCGCTCAACTTCAGCTCTCCCCTAGTCTTTATTCCGTGGCGAAATTTCACAATTTTATGCTTCTTGTGAGTAGACCTAGAAGGAAAGAAAATGGGGCTAGACCAAGGAGTTTAGTGGAGCATCTCCTAAAAATAATCCCTACAAAACTTGCACTTGGCTTGCTGAGGAGGGCGTGCCCACTTGCTTATGCCTACTTGCTCATACCCAAGCTACTTCTCACAATCCAGCGCTGTATTTTCAAGGTTTGAAATTAAAGAAAGGCCATCAATATGAAGTTTAGAAAAACAGGGTAACATTAGAATCTAACATTCCAATAAAGTAGTTGCTTCCTTAGTCCTTCCCCACAGCTTAGTTTTAGGGGTAATCATCATGTAAACTATTTTTAAGTCTTTATCTGTACCGTAAATCTTAAAAAATGATAGTTACCACAAACCTTAAGAAATGGTGAAAGTTTACATTTTCATATTTAACAACTGCTGCCTGACGGATTTACAAATATGTACTGCCTTTAGTGTCCTGAGCACCCACCCCACCCCCCACCTGTGGTTACCATTTAGAAGCCAAACTGGGTTTCACAAATTTGGGCTCTAGCCCCTTTGAGTGTCAGCAGATTAAACCTTCTGGAATTATCTACCATAAAATGGGACGAACATTTCCCCAGGATGTAGGAGAGACGTGGGCATAGGAGGCTCCCAGAAACTCAGAGCTGCCCCAGTGAGTAACACCCACAGAGCCAAGGAGTGGGAGCAGAGCCGGTTACTACTGTCGTACAAAGGCAAAACGTTTCAGTAAGGTGAGATTCATCATTAGCCACGCCATTTCTGGCATTCCGTGAAAAAAAGACTAACCAAAAAGGGGATGCTCACCGCATCCCCCACGCCGGCTGTGATGCTAGGACTTCTGGCTTAGCACTTAACACCGTTACCGGGTCCTCCGCACTGCGTGAAGATTTAGACATCAGCTCATTTATCACATCACATTTGCGTTTCCACAGTGCCTGTGCACGTAAGCCCTCCAATACCCAGTGAACAGCCGAAATGCCCGCATCCTGGGGCCCTTGTCTCTTGACTGACACCTGGGACAGGTGAACGGGCACCTGCCACCAACTTACAACCGAGACAGGTGCTGAGAGGGTTAACTGAGGACACCCGCTCGTATTAATGGACTATAATTGCTCACCAGGGAAACGAAGGACCCTGACCCTCCTTCGCCTTTCACTTTCCCTCAAGGAAAGCAGCTTTTTGAGGATTCCTTTCCCCTTACCGGTCTCCGCGTGGGGTGTCTCAGCAGATGACATTTGCAGGGACGCATAATTTTCTTCAGGCCCATAAATCTCAGGCATTGGAGAAGAGTCCCTAGAACTGGGTGCTTCGGAGCCAGGCAGGCATTGGGGCAGAGCTGGATCTGCACTCATGTTGGTGAGTTCAGGATAAACGGAAAAAAAAAAAAAAAAAGAGCGAGATTGCAAGAAAGGCCCAGGCTTATAGATCTAGGTGGAAGAGCTGAGAGTAGGAAGACCTCCAGATGTTAGAAGTCTGAGAAAGACAGGATGAAGTGCGTCACCACTGCAATAGTAAGAGCCAACCAGCCCAATGGAGCCAGAGGTGAAAATTTTGGAGGCTCTAGATTTATAAGGAAGGCTCCACCATCCTCAGACCGCCCCTCCTGGCAGCCCCACGCCCACACACACCCTTGCGAATTCTCAGTTAATCCTGTCTGCCAGTCTCACCAAGGCCATTGTAATGTAAAAGGTAGCTGCCGGGTAGTCCAGACTGGGTGGGGAACGGGGAAACGGGGGCCACAGAACCTTAAGAAAAGGGAAACCCAACAATTACATATTTCTGGGTTCACTGCGTTTCCATCTTTTCAAATCAAAGATGCACCTGAGACTACCTCAGGTGATTGAACCTTCCACTAGAACAATTAATTTCTTGATTTAAGTCCCCTTAGGGTCTCAAAATTGAGCTGGTGCTGGCGGAAACTTGAACCAGTAGCTGTTTTCCTCTTCAAGTCCCCCTAAGGTCACAATAAGACACATATTGTATGTTGCTAAGGTGTCAGTTGATATCAAAACTAGTACTTGTTTTCAAGACCTTCTTACTGTTTTTTAGCTTTCAGAGAGACAGATAGACAAGTCTTTCCCCCAGGACTGTTGTCTCCTTTTTAACAAAGGCCAGAGGAAAGGAGTGGCAGCCTGCTGACCTTATGACTTTGTGCCCTGCAGGTAATTATGCTTCTGCCATCAGTATGGGTAATTTGTAAGCAGTTTCTATATACCCATTGCTGGATAGACTCTTGGCTCAGTTTCCTCATCTGTGCCTCTTTCTTCATGGCTCTAAAAACTAAGAAAATAAAGACTAAATGCTCATAATAGTTGGCAACACCAGTGATCTACAAATGAGGGCTTTAAGAGAAATTTTCTTTATCCTACATTCATGATCTCCCAAGTTTGAAATTGACTTTTGTTGTGATTACTATTTTAATCCAGTGAACCACATGATAGATTGAGAGCACCCCCTTCTAATTTTATCTGGGACATTCCTAGATGTAAAATAATGAAATTTTTAAAAAAATTTTTTAAAGGATTTTTTGTTGTTGTTGTTAAGATTTTGCTTATTTATTTGACAGAGAGAGACAGCGAGAGCAGGATCACAAGCAGGGGGAGTGGGAGAGGGAGAAGCAGGCTTCCCGCTGAGCAGGGAGCCTGATGTGCGCCTTGATCCCAGGACCCTGGGATCATGACCTGAGCCAAAGGCAGACGCTTTAACGACTGAGCCACCCAGGCGCCCCAATAATGAAATTTCTTGACCTGTAAACCAACCCAGTTGAAAAGAGGGAGGTCAAGAAGAACATCCCTTAAGCAAATGATATTCCTGTAAAGGGTCTTGCCAAAGCGTTTGTGACAAGTTCCTTTTAGAATCTGTGTTGGGCCCTCCTCTCTCTTCTTCCTAAGCAAACCTCTTCTTCTGGCCTTTCTTCCCCCACCCCCACCTGGCTCTTTTTTAAACCGACTTTTCTTTCTCTGGCCTGGCATTTCTGTCATGTCCTGCAACCCCACTCCATCCCCGCTCTCAGATTTGGTTTTTTGTTTTTGTTTTTTTCTGTATGTTTTCCAAAGGACCAGTTTTTATGGTTTGGTTTCAGCATGAACGTATTTATAGACAAAGATAACAGTCTGCAGCTTTGAATTTTCCTCCCCACTCTCAAACTCAATATCCGAGGAACCTAAGATTTCTTCCTTTTTCCAGTCTCCCACTCCTCCAAGTAAACCCTTAGCACATTCCAACTGTGTATTTTCCGGAGATGCACGCCTGACTAATCCTCGCATACACTCTGCTCCTTGGGTCTCCACCTAGAACTGCTGGCTTTGCTTCTAGAAAAGAGATATTCGTTCTTAAGGATGCCAATCCGTGAGCATAGGAGGATTGCTGGGACCAAAGCACGGAGTTCGATTCTTTGTAGTCTTTTCTTTGTCTTCTCAGACCATCATTCCGGAAGGGAAAAGAGTAGGAACACGGGTGTCAGGGAAGAGGTGGGTGGAAATACATTGCGCTCAGGCCGACCGCCTCCGTCTCGTTACAGAGTATGAGTCCTTTAAAGGGAGAACGTGAGTGATGGATGGAGTGAACTAAACTTACTGTGGTAATCCTTTTGCAACATCTCCGTCTATCAGCCCATTGTGTTGGCGCACCTTAAACTAATACAATGCCGTATGTCAATTACTTCTCAATAAAACGGGGGGAAAAGTAAATTAAAAAGCAGAAAACTTGACTTCCTGGCTTTCAGTTGGCACAGTTGGTAAGTGAGTGCAGTCAAGGGCACCAAAGACCTTAGTTTGCCCGCTCTCTAGACCGCAGGTACCAGAGGCCTTGTTCTTTGCTGACGGGGGTCTTTGCCTGAAAACCTGGGCCAAATTCTCCCCCATCCCCCACCTGTGTCTCATTGTATCTAGGGTCAGAGCCTCTGGAGTGGAAGACCAAAGGGAAGGGGGCTGGTAGCTAGAAGGCAAACTTACTACATTCTTTGCCCTGGAAAGCAATTTGA